GGGAAATCCTGCTACTGACTGGCTTCCCCATTTGATCTCCATCTAATCAATATTACCTGGGCGACTATACTTGTAATCTTTTTTTTTTTTTTTTTTTGGTATGGGGATCGAACTCGGGACCTTGCGCTTGCGAGGCAGGCGCCGGAACCACTGAGCTAAATCCCTGGCTATACTTATAATCTTATTGATCATGGTTTTGTCCCACCTCATGCCCACTTTATGATTTTCCATTGGATTTTACAGTTTTGTCTGACTTTGTATCCACCTCACCTCGTGGCTTTGTCCCATAAAACACCTTTGAGAAGTGAGGTGGGCGGGCAACCCGCTTACCAGTCCCCCTTCTGTCTCTCTTAGACAGAAGCTCTTTTTGTCAATAAGTTTTTCTTACTTTTAACCTCTGTTGTTCCTAGAATTTATTCACAGATTTTAGAGAACATGAACCTGAGTTTTAGATATCTAGTAGGTTGAGAGTTATAATATTTCTCTTGTTCGGATTATTTTGCTTATTTGGAGTACTTGTTGCCCTATATCAATAGTTTATGAGGGTATGACAATCTACAGTTTCAAAACAAACAAACAAATCACATAAGATAAAAAGCATACTTTTGTCAAGAAAAAACTTGAAGACTATTTTGTCTAAATTTTCCTCTGACATTGGATCAGAGAGCCATTTCTTTGACTAAATGCCACACAGGGGCGGTTTTGATTCAGAAGCCATGTTACATGAAACAAAATAGGAATCTTTGAATTAGAGTCACATTACCACATAATGTGGCAAAATAACCACACTATGATATTCACATGGAAACAGACGTGCTGAAAAAAATAACTTCTTTCATTGTATTTTCTCTTTAAAGCAGGCACTTATCTACAAATAGAAAGGGCAAGTTGACACTTAAATTATGTCTTTATTATTGTACAGTGATGCCTTGGTTCACGAACCTAATTCTTTTCATGATTCTGGTTGCAAACCAAATTTCTCCATAAGGTCAACACCGAACCTAACCTTTTGATTTGGTTTTCATCCAATTTGATTTTCAGTCAGAATTATGGGAAGAATTAAGTTCATGAACAGAGGTACCATTTACTTTGTTTAACCTGTACACTACACTTAGTTGAAAATGTAAGGTGGCGCCTGCCTTGCAAGTACAAGGTCCCGAGTTCGATCC